TCTACAATTTAGAATGCCTTGAATTTTGAGTTTTAATAGACTAATAAATCAACATGCGTGCACTCTGTGTGTGTGATTTGATGATATAGACTTGATAATGTCAGATCGCACATCATTACAACAACACTTACCATATTATCGCAGACAATGCTTTATATCGCAGAGCCCATACTCGACTTTGGAAAATGAATCATCCTCGGTAGTGCGTGCACTTAGATCCACATGAGCATGAGTCTAACTTGCAAACGCCAGACCACTGATTCGTCAAACCTGCTTTCCTGCAGTCCGTGTTCTTCTGACTTCTGACTATTTTGTAGTAAGTAACGAATATGCTTCAGGGAAATGTATCGGAGTAAAAGTATACATTTTAATTAGGAAATGTAGTGGAGTAAAAGTAAAAGTTGGCTGAAATATAAAAACTCAAGTAAAGTACAGATACTCCCAAAAAATACTTAAGTACTGTAACGAAATATTATTACTTCGTTACATTACACCACTGAGAGCCACCTACTGTAAGTCACATTTAAAATGCTTGAATTTCATTGCATTAGATAAGATAAATTGGCATCTGCAATCCTTCCACAGCTTCACTTTTTTGAGCAGTGCAATGATTTTAATCAATTAGTGTGGCAGTGACCACAGGAGTAGTTCATAACACCAACTATGAACATGTTCCACTAACATTTGTTAATCACAAAAATCCTCATATATTTTTTTTGTTTTCAAACTTATTTTGTGAATGTTTTGCTTTAAAAGTGTGCTAGTGCAAACTTTCTTTAAAATGCATTTGATTTGGTTCGATATTTAGTTATCTAATGCAGTGACATTCATGCATTTTAAGTGTCACTTAAATGTCCAAATACCAGTTTTGTGCTCAACAGTCAAAACAATTTTGAATTTGTTACTCCTCAGTTCTCTCACTACTTTGACACCACATATTATTCCAGCTATAAGAAGGATGACGTTCGGCCAATTTACACAAGTATATTTTTCTTTAATTGTATTAAAAACTTTGTATCAACTTTTATTTATTTTAATTGATTAATTAGTTAATTCTATTGTTTTGAATTCAACAAAATAATCATGCTTATGTAAAGAATCTGATATTTCCACTTTATCAGCCCCAAAGAGGGAGTCAAGAAGTTTCCCTGGCCACCAACCAGAACTGGATCCTCCACACACAAAGAAAATGTATAAAATGTCAGAAAATGTACCTATGATGATTGATTTTCCATACATAATAAGGTTATAATATTTGACTTCTCAATTATATTGTACTTTACTGCACTGATAATTCACCTCAGTTCATCTGGTCGATTTATTTTTTCCACATATTTTTGTGAATTCATTAAACAGTAAACTAGCAAATACATTTTTAATTTTGAGTTCGAAAAAATGAGTTGAGATCACACTGGTTTTGAATGGCAGCAGTATTTATTGATAATTATTTAATGATGTTAATAAGTTAACTCAGTGCTTCAGCTCACTTATACCTCCTTGTGGGGTAGTGCAGTAGTTTGGGCCTTTGCTTTTTGTGATATAAATATGAGGAAATAAGGATATTTTTCCTACATCTTTGTCAGAACCTTACTTTTCCATATCAAAAAAATGACTGATAGAGTTTGATATTAGCAGCTTTACCATTGTTGAATAAGTGAGCCATTGCTAAGATTCCGAATAGTCTCAGTGATTGTAAGCAATATAAATTCTTGGCACTTATTCTCATGCACAAACATCTCAGCTCACATCTCACTCTCAAAAATAACATTCAAATATTATCTCATGGGTAACATTTGACCTATACACCATGCTTTTAAAACCTTGCATTAATAAACTTGCTTTTATATGCTTTCATTCTCATTCATTTTTTGCAGTAACACCAGCTCTTGGCAACATGTGAGTAGCACCTGCTATTCATGCTGTTTAACCATGACTTAACATTATCTTTAATTTCGGTTTAAAGCTGCGTTCATAACCATCTTTAACCTTGCTGCTTGCTTGCTGCTATTCATGCAAATACAGTGGCGAAAGTATATAGTGTGAAGCAATGCCGTGCATAGATGTGTCATTAACCAATCAAAACTGCATCAACGCACACAAATCTTGTCAAAACACTTAAATACTGTGACTTTTTCATCCCCTCACTGTGTCCTCTGGTCCCAGATCCATCATTAAATTCAAAATAACCTTTACCTTTCCATACCAAAAACAAAAGCCATTGTGATATCTCAAACAAATCATTTGAACGTACAGAGAATAAACAATAACAGAATAAACACTTTACAACAAGGTTCCATTTGTTAACGTTAGTTAACTACATTAGTTAACATCAACTAAAGATGAAAAATTATTTTAAAGCATTTATTAATCTTAGATAATGCTAATTTCAGCATTTACTAACACAAATTAATATCTGTTAATATTATTTAATGGACCAGAGCTAACATGAAATTATTAACAGTTGTGTTTTTATTAACTATCATTAACATTAACAAAGATGAATAAATACTGTAAGAAATATATTGCTCATGTTAAGTTAATGTAAGTTAATGCATTAAGTAACGCTGACTAATAGGACCTTATTCTGACTCTTCTGCAAATTACAGCATTAATAATGAAAGACTGTGGCATAATTTGCCATCTGATTCAGCTGAGTTCAATGGCCCATTTTTGTCTTTGTTATAAAAAAAAATGCCAGGGAAAAATACTCCTACACTCAAATACTTTGTCTTGCTGTCAAGCTGCAAGATATACAGAAGCCCCTTTGTTTGGTGGCATCAACAGAAAACAATACTTTATTGTAAAAGTGTATTTCTATGGTAACATTTATCATTTAGAGATTGTGTTCAGTTAGTTTGACGCTGATGGAGTTTTCGACCTAATAACTTCTTTTTCTAGGCGCTGTAGCAAAGACAACAAGTTTTGGCTTGTCAGGAAATGTTGGGCTAATAAGTTATTCCCTTGTAATGTAGCAGGAGGAAGACAAGGGACATAAAGTTGAAACATGGAAGTCTAGCAGCTTTACTTCTTCTGAGACCCAGCCACGGCGGGCTTGTCTTCACGGGTGATGGGAATGGTGCGCTCCGGGCCCTCTGTGTGCTTGCGAGGGGCTGTCACGGTCAGAACGCCATCAGAAGACAGGGAGGAAGTGACAGAGGCTGGATCCGTACCAGCAGGGACACGGTATTTTCTTAGAAACTCCCGTGAGATAAAACCGTGATCGTCCTGCAAGGAAAGCACAACATCGTTATGAGCAGGTGATAACGAATGGTCCATCTTTCACTCTGCTTATAGCTCAGTGTTTATTTGTGGCTCAAGGCCAGTGATCTTGGTGATGACATGAGGATTTTAAACAATAAAGCCAGTCACACGCAAAGGTTTGGGTAGGCATTAGGTTGCAGTGTTCAGTGTTTATGTACTGTGAGTTTCTACCTGTCGATCCTCGTGTTTAGCGTGAATTTCAATGAAATCTCCATTGATTTTCACTGACAGCTCCTCTGGTTTAAATTGTTTAACATCCAGATTTAGGGAGAAATGGTCCTTTTCCATTTTCATCTAAGAAAACACAATTAATGACATAAATTATTAATAATAATAATTTGTTTGATCTATCCTAATGCTCACAATTAGGAAAAGCACTTCAAATTCAAAAGACAAATGTAAATTTTCAGACATTTCGATTTTTTTTTTGCTACTATGACATAATAATCTGCTGTGATAGTATTAACCTATATACAGAATTTCATTACTATATTATATAGTTGTAATTATACTAATAATTATAATTATTAACTATAAAGTAATAATAATGTACATTAGAATTACATTTACATTTTATTTCACATTACAATATCCTGTTTTCACAATGCAAAAAACATAATAGTTCTACAAGACTTCAGATGCAAAAGCCTCTAAGTGCCGTCTGAAATTATCATCTAAAATGAGCATTTTTATCAGGCTCCTATATTTATGTTCAGGTATTTCACTATAATGGCATAGAAAAGGACCTATACATTGCCATTAAAGTAAAATTACTTGACCTAAATAAAAGAGCCTAATAAAAATATTAATTTTAGAAGGAAATTTCAGATGGCACTTAGAGGCTTTTGCATCTGAACTCTTCAAATATGCTTCACTTTCTTTATGCAAAAATATTTATTTCTCTTTTGATTTTATAGCGAAATATGACCCGAACATTTCTTAAAAGTTCTTGTGAAATTCAACCATATAAATGATTAAATTATTTTTGTTTTGTTTTGTGTTTTTTGTTATGTTTTGTTTGTTTTGTGTTTTGTTTTGTTTTGTTTAGTTTTTTGTTTTGTTTTGTTTCCATCAAAACAGAAGAGCTATGCTGAATCTGCTATGCAGAAATCAATCAAAGCTATCGTCATGGAATAAATGCTCAAAATATTTATCCATTGGGATCATAGTTTAGAAAACAGCCGACACTAGCACAGCTGTCATTGAAAAAAACAAAAAACAGCTATAGTTATCTCTTAATAACGCTATCTTTGTCTGTATAAAACAGGCATGAACACAGAGAATAACTTCATGTTAAATGTAAAACTTAAAATAGCACAATAAAAATAATCCATAAATCATTTTCATTATTACATGGCTCTTTGAAATACTTGATTTTGATTGGTCAACTAAGGTCAAATATTTTTGTATTGGTTGACTAAGGTCAATTATTAATGTGTACTAAACTGTTAACATATTAAAATGACTTTAAACATCCATTATTTATTAACTGTACAGCCGTTATCACTAATTAAAACCCTGTAGGTTAATATGAGACCCCTCCACTTTGCTTCAAGGTACTGATCACCCAGTTTAGTTTTTGATAGTGAGTTAACAAATTAGACACGGAACTACAATAATGCTAAGGTTACAAACTTAATGTAGATTAACCACAACATTCCCAAACGTCACTAAAAACTGACTGCGAAATTTTTAGCTCACCTCAGAAAGGCTGCTGTCCACCCAGCTTGGCCAGCGGAAAAAGGAAGGTCGTGGGTAGTACAGTGAGGGAATCATTTCGGCCTCAGAGATGGGGTCCCCAAAGTGCTGCTCAAAGATCCGGCTGGGAAAGAGGGATGGCCAGAAGGAGCGACGGAACCAGGGATGCTGGATGGCGATGTCCATTTTGTGTCTGGGTCTTAGCAGCACTCAGAAAACTGCTGCCTCTTCTGCGTGCGCACTTAAATAGAGCAACACCGACGGCCCCTGGCACTCGAGCCAGCGGTGGATCTTTCTGGAATAATGATGTAAACTATTTGCCTGCCTTTGCCTCTTTCACTTCGGCCCTCCCACTGTCCTCTGCTTGCTACCCCGTCCCCTCTTCCAACCATCACTCTGTATTTATCCAAAGAGCTGATCAGATTTCAATTCACTCAGATACCAACTGGATTACAGTGCAAGCCCCCAATAATGCTGACGGTCCCATGTGTTCACTGCACTGGAAACTGCAGTGTCTGGCCCGGTGAACCTGCCAATGCTGAGGGAAGTCAGTAGTTGCTCGGTATTCCGGTGCGTCTAGCTGGCTCATTTGGTGCCAGCAAAGATTAGGATGCCCACGAGGTGATGTGCCCGTGTGTATTTAGGTTCTGAGTCCCTTTGGAGGTTTAGTCTTTATAGAATCTGACAATGAATGTGGCTGAGATAACTGTGCCAGGCTAAACACCATACAAAGTCAATCCCCATGAACAAGCCCTCGGCTGGGCAGTGTGTACGGGGCTTACTTCAGCTGGCACACTGATTGGACATCCTCATTTTGGAGGGGTAAGCAGTCTCAGCCGCTGTCAGTGAATATTCTCTTAACAAAGGCAAAAGATGGTTCTGGATTTATACATTTTATTTTTGTTTCACCTGAACATTTTGTGGATTTTGTGCCGTTTCAGTTCTGAAATTGACAACTGAAATTGGTAACATTATTTGATTTACACTACCATTTTATTTATTTATTTATTTATTTTTTTGGGAAGTCTCTCATGCTCACCAAGGCTGCATTTGTTTGATTAAAAATACCGTAAAAAAAGAGTAATATTGTGAAATATTATTACTATTTAAAAATACATATTTCCTATTGCAATATATTTTAAAATGTATAAGAATAAATAAATAAATGCATTTATTCTTGGTATGGCAAAGCTGAATTTTCCGCAGTCATTACTCCAGTCTTCAGTGTCACAATCCAACAGAAATCATTCTAATATGCTGATTTGGTGTTCAAGAATTTATCAATGTTTTGCAGCTTGATATTTTTTTTGGAAACGGTGATTTTTTATTCCAGGATTTTTTGATAAATAGAATAAATAGAAGTTCGAAAGGACTGCATTCATTTTTAATATTGTAAATGTCTTTACTGTCACTTTTGATCCATTTAATGCATTTTTGCTGAATAAAAATAAAAAAGGTAATAGATAGATAGGTAGATAGATAGATGATAGATAGATAGATAGATAGATAGATAGATAGATAGATAGTGACATTACATTTATTTTTATTTTTTGCTGCTAAGAACATTTTGACTGATTATTTTGGTGCAGTACTGTTATGAAAATAATGTTTTATTTTAAGGCCTATCCCAAACCTTTTCAAGAGTTGAAATAACAATTTTTTTTTAACATTGAGCCCTAGATCAACTGTTAGACTGCTTTGCTTTTTGAGTCTATCACTAAATCTATTCACTCTGCATTTGTGTATATCCACCTATATGGGCTATGCAGCTCCACAGCGTTTACTACAAGCTATTTGTAGCAACATTTATCACCCTCCTGTCTCAAGTGCGCAATCTCTCTTCTCCTTTCCCCTGCTGTTCTTTCCACCCCTCTCCCTTTCTAGCCTTCCTGCTCCTCTCGCTCTCCGAAATTAGTTTAATTGAGGTCTGTCAATCCAGTAAATTCTCCAGTTATCTTGTCAACCGGCTACAGAGGTCAAAATGGCTGATCGCACCGTTCCTCATGCCTACCCAATGAGTATGGATTACGAGATGTGTTCTCCCCCTCGAATCTATGATCAGAACTTTGCAGAAGGCAAGTCAAATTTGAGTCTTGAAATGAATAGAAATAGACAACATTTTAAGGCAAAACATCCTGTGCATTTGTGCATTTCTTGTATTTTTTTATTGCTGGCTATCATGCTATGTCTCAGTGACTTTAAAACAACTTTTCATAACTTTAGATTTTAGCACAAACAAGTCATTTTGATTGTCATAATGTTATGAACATCCATATTGGCACTTGTGACAGTATTCACTTTACAATGAAATGTGACGCCTCAGTAACAACTTATATTTAGAATTCCACACATGACATGAGCAAAATAACCTCTTGTCCCCTTCATGACTGATTATGAGCTGATCTTAAACAAGTTAGCAGCAGGTTTGGAGACACCACACACTGTTAGGCTATAACAGAACAGCGTAAAGATGCCACTTGTGATAAGTTTAAAATAGAAACTGTTAGTGGAACCTGAGTCTTGATCTGTAGCTGGCGTCATGAATTGTAAATAGACTTGACATGCACATTTCCTGTGTCTTCTAGAAGACATTTCCAAATTCTAGAGGAAAGAGCTTTCTATTTTAATATGAGGTGTATTAAGGGGCATAAATAGTAGTAAATGTATTTTTTTTAAAGTGTCCGCCAAGTCATGTATACCATTCAGCAACATGTAGACAAACGAAGAAAAATTATATCTTTTTTATTTTATTTATTTATTTTTCAATTTTTATTCCTGGATGTATAAAGTAAAAAATGTTAGGTTGATACAACTGTCCTGATATCACAATGGAATTTTTTTTTATTAAAAATAAAAAACGAATTAATAATATTTATAATAATATTTTTTATTTATTAATACTAATATATAATAATATTTTATTTATTATTAATTACTAATAATATTTTATTGATTATTTCTTAGAAAAGTATTTGAATAAAACTGCTTCAATGTTTATTAATATTTGAAAAGATATCCACCAAGTCATGCAGTGCCAAAACAAACAAACAAAACATCACATGATATCAGAAGTCAGAAGTCTCTTAAAATATGAGATACTTTGACATTTTTATGACAAGGCAAGGTTAGTTCAGGTTATGTTAATGTCATGTGGTACAATTACCCAGAAACTCAAAAAAATAAAATGAATAAAAGATCAAGATTGTTTAGGGTGGAAGGAAAATATGTTATTAATTTTTACATGACTGTTACACCACATTTTTAAAGTGGTTGTTTCCAAGTTCAAAGTCCGACATCAGTTGGTATTCACTTACGCTTTTCCGAGCAGGAAGGAGGAAATTCTGATATAGCAAGTTGAATGGAATGCAGCATAATCAGAAAATATGTTTATATTGTGTTGTTTCCACTTTCATTATGGAGAGACAAATGACATGTCACTGGACACCAGTGTTGGGGAAAGTTACTTTTAAAAGTAATGCATTACAATATTGCGTTACTCCATAAAAAAGTAACTAATTACGTTACTTAGTTACTTTTTATGGAAAGTAATGCATTACATAACTTTTGCGTTACTTTTTAAATATGAGCAGGGCTTGATTGTTTTTAATATAAAAAAGTTATATTTATAGCAAATGTAAAAGCCCTTTCACACCAAAAAGTGTAATGAATAAACCTCAGGCTGAAGCAAAAGTAAATTCACGTCTGTGAACACTCTTCAGCAATAAAAAAAACAATGAAGCACAATTGTTAGTTTATCTAAAGTCATTTTTGCTTATTAGCATGGTTAAACTGGATCATCAAAGGTCAGCAGCAAAGACATTAGTTAATAAAATGGGATTAGATACATTTGTGTTATTTAACATATTTAATTATTGCAGGTTTGCGTCATATTCTGAGTTTGCATTTCACTTATTTAATTCATTTTGATGAATACTAAATCTGTTTTTTGTGAGTGGGATGAATTAATGCACATTCACATTTAGTCTAGAAGTACATCATGTTCACACAGCGCACACAACGCCTCTGTACTTCCGATTTCTCCCAATATGGGGGCAGGAGACTTGTCAGTCAATAATTGGGAAAACAAAGTAACTGGCATTACTTTTTTGAAAAAGTAACTCAGATATTTTTTTGTAAATTAAAAAGTAATGCGTTACTTTATTAGTTACTTGAACAAAAGTAATCTGATTGCGTAACTCGCGTTACTTGTAGTGCGTTACCCCCAACACTGCTGGACACATTGTATGATTAACTGAGATTATGATGTATTTGTTTCCCTTCTCACCCTCTCAGCTCTGAGTCCCAAGGACCTGTTGGCCCCTGTCTTGTACCACGGTTACTACATTCGTCCCCGCATCAACAAGCAGCTTGAGCGGGGCTTCTCTCACATAGAAAGTGAAGATGATTGGTATCGAGTTTTGTTAGATGTGTGCCAGTTCACACCAGATGAGATCAGTGTGCGAACAGTCGACAACCTGTTGGAGGTGACGGGGCGGCACGCTCAGAGAATGGACCAGCATGGCTTCGTGAGTCGTGAGTTTACCCGCACGTACATCTTACCAATGGGTGTGGATCCGCTGCTGGTGCAGGTGTCTCTCTCACATGACGGGATACTGTGTATCCAGGCACCACGAAAAACGGAGGACCTGGAGCTTAAAATCAACCAGCTCAAGATTAAAGTGGACAAAAAGGAAAGCAAAAGTTAATAAAGTGGACTGATATAAGCAGGCCCACATGGAATCCCATGTAGAAAAGTCTATGGAGTTGGAATGCCCAACACTTGCTGCTCATTTATTAAATATTTTGGATATTTTGAATAATTTGACGTTCTCTCACAGTTTGTTAACATGCATTCCACAGAATTCTAAAATGAGTGCAGAAAAAGTCTACAGATTCCTTCTGGGTCTGTATTATACACTACAGGTCAAACGCTTGGAATAATTACGATTTTTAAAATGGTTTTGAAAGAAGTCTCTTATGCTCACCAAGACTGCATTTATTTGTTACAAAATACAGTAATATTGTGAATTATTATAATTTTTTAATTGTAATATTGTTTAGAATGTGATGTAAAGCTGCTATTTTAAGCATCATTACATACAGTGTCACATACTCCTTCAGAAATCATTTTAATGTGCTGATTTGATGCTCAAGAAACATTTCCTTATTATTATCAATGTTAAAAAAGTTAACATTGTTAAAAGTGTTGCATTTTTGCAGCAGTTTTGCAACAGCTTAATATTAAAATAGAAAACAATTACTTTAAATTGTAATAATATTTCACAGTTTTACTGTATTTTTGATCAAATAAATGCAGAATTGGTAAGAATAAAATAAAGGAAATAAAGGAAAGGTTCACCCAAAAATGCTGTTTATTTGCTCACTCTCAGGCCTTCCAAGATGTATAGGTGACTTTCTTTCTTCACTATTCCTTTAAAAACATAATAAAAAAAAAAACCGTAATTATTTCCAAACATTTTATTGGTAGTGTTACATTAGTTACTTCATTTATGGTTGGTGTTTACGCTTTACATCCGGGAGTAAAACTGTACACACTGGAATTTTATGACGCACGTTAAGTTCCCTTGCCTGGATGTGTGGCCATGTGTGAATTTTGCTAGAAAAATTATATTTTGTAATAAACTTTTCTGTATAGCTAGCATGTATTTCAAATGGTCTTGCCTCAGTTTTGTTACTTCCAGTTGTTGCAAAAATGAAATTGTGGTCTGCCACTGGTTGGTTATGAAATACTGCCCCTAATTTGTGCCATTGGTTGAGCCACTGTTGCTGTGTTACAGTTTCTTCCATATTGTGGTGTATATCTGAGTAAAACAGACTTGGTTCTATCCAATGGTTGCAGATCTGAATGAGAGTTTGCAGTCAATTGTAAAAAAAAAAAAAAAAAAAGAGGTAGGGTTTAAGCGAGGTACAGCATACGTCACCAAAGAGAAGAATGTCGTTTCACTGGAAGTTATGACATTTTGATGAAAAATTATGAGCTTAAAAATCTCATAAATAAAATGCATTTAGAAAATAGTGAATCTCCATTTCATTCTCACTTTAGAGTTGGGATGCTCAAACAAACAAAGCAAAGTTTTGAAAGCACCACAGAATCACAGTCTTTACACTTTTCTGGGAATGGTTTGCTTGTCTATCATCGGAAATTTACACAGCTTTAATCAATGATTTTCTAAAAATACATAATATGTCATTTAAAAAGGCTTATACATTTTTACCTGTTTACATTCATATATGTGACCCTGCACCACAAAACCAGTCTTAAGTGTCAATTTTTCAAAATGTATACACCAAGCTGAATAAATAAGCATTCCATTGATGTATGGTTTGTTATGAAAGGACAATATTTGGCTGGGATACACCTATTTGAAAATCTGGAATCTGAGGGTGCAAAAAAAATCAAAATATGGAGAAAATCGTCTTTAAAGTTGTCTAAATGATGTTCTTAGCAATGCATATTACTAATCAAAAATTACATTTTGATATATTTACGGTAGGAAATTGACAAAATATCTTCATGGAACATGATTTTTGGCATAAAAGAAAAATCTATAATTTTGACCCATACAATGTATTTTTGGCTATTGCTACAAATATACCCCAGCAACTTAAGACTGCTTTTGTGGTCCAGGGTTACATATGCGGATATTACAATACAGCTGTTATACAATGCTACACACAGAAAGTCCACCGTAAACGAAGAGAGTTCTCAGTGTAAACACAGGGAAATGGATCTCTTCCCTAACCACTATCATTCTGTTCATGAATGAATGACTGCAGAGATATACAACATTAAAGACAATGTCAAACATTCACGACCTCAAGGTCAGCCTCAACCATAGGGGCGTTGCAGTTCGAGGTACAAAGGTAGCTTTCTGTAAGAGCAACACCTGCAGGACTCCAGTTACAGAGAAACAAGGAAATGGAAAAATGAGCAACTGAACAACTCTGAGCTAACTGTGCACTCACGACGATCTCTGCCATGGGGAGCAGTGTAACCAAAACAATGAATAAGTGAGTAGCCAAACATTTGAATGTTTGAATTGTTTTAAACATACTGGGCATGGTTTACAGTGTTTATCTATTCAAATGCGACAGGGTTCTATGACATGTGCTTGTTCTATAGCAGTAGGATCTTGATGGTGAGGATAGTGCCTTAAACTAGATTAATTTGTGTCACTAAATGCTGTTCTGTTCACTATTTAACGCAAACGTGACCTTTTAAGTAGGCCATTCTTTGAGAAACATTGATCCTGTGTGTCTGTTCACATTTGATAGTTTAAATAATTAACAATGCTGTTAAATTGGTTAAAGGCAAGAAAAGCCAAACCAGATACAAGAAGGTGTTCATAAGGTGTTGCACTGTTCAGAAAAGAGAACAATGAATTGTATTAGCATTTAACAGGACAAAAGAGTATAGGAAGTTAAAGATACTTCCTCTTAACCCTTATAAGAAGAAGTAGTAGCGTATTACTTTGAAAGAATGTACTTAAGTGCATACTGAATGTTTTCAGATGCTTAATTTCATGTTATTTATAATTAATTGAAAATGTATTATAGTTTAGGTTCATATTAAATGCTATCAGTTGAACTTAAAAATGTTTTTTGACCCACTTAAGTGGGACTTTAGTGCATCTTTATATGTAATTTCATAATTACGTCATCTGTCTTTGAAATATCGTTGAAGTCTGCCGAATGTACCGACAAACATTTATCGTATACTAAAATGTCCTGTATTTAAATATACAGTATATATAATTACACATTTAAAATGATGACGTTGCAGTTTAGTAACTTTAAATGTAAAATCGAATAAAACACAACAGTTAAAATAATCAAGTATGCTACATGCACTTTGCATGTAAGTCAAATCAAAATAAGTGTACTTAAAGCATGACAAGATTATTAAAACATAATCATTTAAAATAAAACTTTTAAATTGACTATTACAAAAGTTCACTTTTTAAAAGTGTACTTAGGTGCGTCATGAAAGTGTACTCTCTTTAAGTACATTCAAGTGGCCTTTTATTTCATTCATATTTTATTTAAAAAATATACTTTTAAGATTTGAAGTGCACAATAAGTGTACATTCAATACAGTTAAGTGCAGTTCTTTTTCACAAAGGATAAGTCTGTCAATGATCAACTTCATTTAGGGAACTACACACTACAGAACAAATACACCAAATTTATATTTAAGTTTGTTTGTTTGTTTCTTAGATGGGGAATAAATCCAAGAAAACTTTCACAAAAAAGGACAAAAAGAAAAGGTAACATAACAAAACAAAACAAAAAAGCTCAGCTCCATTTATGAGATAATAAATGAAAAGGATACTTTGATTATCAGGACAATGTTTATTACTTGATTATCCAGTTGTTGTAATATTGGTTGCTATTCAACAACGTGCATCTTTACAACAGGTCCACCTGTGGTTCCTTCCCATCAGGTGTGTTGGTTTAACTGGTCACTAATAAACCTTTATGTAAATATATGTAAATATTTTTGTGACAACTTTTTTTCCCAGCAGGCCCGTGTTGATGCTCATGTGCATGACCTTGTGTCGGCTGAACCACAGTATGCCCAGGTGAATAAAAAACGGAAGCAGAATGAAGATGGTTTACACTACGCAGAGATTCAAGTCCTACAGTCTGAAAATGCGACCAGCAGAGGAAAATTTAAACAGTCTCCAAACTACGACAACACAGAGTATGCAACCATAGACTTTGCAACCACTGTGAATACACAGACGTCAGCTGAACCTGCAGATATATTCATCCCACCAGGAGAACTACAGAGACCAAATACAAGGTTTCCCCACAAGAAGAATGTCCACTCAAAGCGAGCAGTTATGGCGTGAACAAACAAAAACACATTTTTGTCTTTATATTTTTATATATTCAATCCTGCTTTATTACTATTGTGCCCTTGAACAAGGCATTAATGTGTGCAATTCGTACTCTGTACTTCACGTTTTATAAAAATAAAGAGGTTGTTTATTTAAAGGTCCCATATTTTACACCTTTCTGGAGTTTTATAGTAGGTTTTGATGCCCTTAAGATTATATATTTGCGGTATAAGTACCAAAAACCATCTCAATATATTTTTACAGCTCCTTTCTCAGGAGCTCTGCTGAGAACAGGTCGATTTTGGCCTGTCTAATTAATATTCATGAACCTCTCTTCTGATTGGCCTGCTGTTTTCTGAGTGACGCATGGCCAGGCCAACCACAGGTAACTAGGGTCAGCCGACGTCACAGCGCTAGCTGGAGGAAG